ATATATATAGTTATTCATTTATTTTTTAATAATTAATGTATATTTACATATATATATAGATATATAGATATATATTTAAATAGATCTATCTTTGGTAATAATATTTGAATTTATATATATATATGTGTGTGTGTGCGTGTGCGTTTACATATACATATGTTTGTTTGTTCGATACACACAGATAACATATATATATATGTGTGTGTGTTTTTTTAATGGAATATATATGTATGTATGTACGTACGTATGTATGTATGTATGTGTGTGTGTGCGTTTGTGTGCATAGGTTTAGTAAAAACATAGGTATGTGTGTGTATGTATGTATGTATGTGTGTGTGTTTGCATGCATATATGTATGTAATTATGCATGCGTGCATGCATGGATGCATGCCTGCAATGTATGTTGTGTAGGCAATGTACGCAATGCATGTTTGTAATGCATGTAAAGCATGCAGTGCATGTAATGTATGTAGTGTCTGTAACGCATGTAGTGCATGTAATGTATGCATTGAATGTACTGTATGTAAAGTAATGACATGTAATGACTCAATGACATGTCATGGAATCCAACGTAATGTAATATTTGAAATTTATGTAATGTCATGTCATGTCATGTAATGTAGTGTGTCAAGTAATGTCACGTGGTGCAATGTAACCTAATGTAGTGTACCGTACTGTGTAATGTAATGCCTAATGCAATGTGCAATGTGCAAAATGTGTAATGTGCAATGTGCAACGTGTAATTTGCAATATGTAATGTGTTCCGCAATGTGGAATGTAATGTGTAACGTATTGGGTCATGTAATGTTTAATGTCATGTGGAATGTCATACGTAACGTAATGCAACGTAATGGCATGTCATGTCATGTACTGTATAAATGTATGTACGACAAGTTTTTTCTATTTTTTAATCTGGTTCATGCGCAGTTGCCCAACAGCGTGAAAAAAGCCCAGGTTCTGCTGGTCTACCCATTGATTTTGTTGATCACCTGGGCACAACAAGTCCCGATGTCGCACGAATACGACCTGCTGTTGCAGACCTTTCTGAACAACGAAGGCATGGATGAGGCACACCTGCACCACAGCGTGGCCGAATACTTCAAGGCGAGCCATGCAACCACCATGTTGGCCACGGGTGGGAGAGGTGACAATTCCCGTATTGAAGGTGCCCTAACCAAGTGGAAAATCATCATCAACAACCCTTACAGTTCACAAGGTTACCAAAAGGAAGCAGTTTTCAGTATTATTTGCTGTTTACAATTGTTTACTAATAGTGGGGGCTGGACATCCATTGGTCGAATTTGTATTGACCATTATTGACCGTAATCAGCAGCTGATGGCAATTTTAAGATGGTCCGATGGGATGCCAGGTGAAGAGTGTGATCTATGAAGAAGCGTCATGGCTGGAGCGTCACCGTGTCGCGGCCTATGTGGTGCTCTACGTGCAGTTTCTGCAGATGGTCTTGGCCTTCACTGTGCATCCACGGGTGGCAATGTTAACATCAACGGTGCAGAAGGCTTTGTACAACATGATGCACTTCTTCTTTGTTTTCGCCATCCTCTTCTTGATGCTGGCGTTTATGGCAAACTTCCTCTTGGGCGGTCGCATTCACATTTTTGGCACCTTTGGCAGTGCATGTTCGGCACAAGTTCGCATGCTTTTTGGAGAATTCATTTATGCTGATGGTGTCGAAGTGCTTTCGGGGACCGCCCTTGTGATGTACTGGTTGTACGCCGTCTCTTTCATGCTCATTGCCGCTCGCTTGCAGTTGTTTGGAATATTTTGGAGACTCGGGGCCCTGCTGCCCCCAAAAAAACAAATACCAGAACTTTTGAGAAGGAGGTACTTCTAGGCCATCGAAGGCCATGGAGTTTCAGTTCAAAAAGGTTTATATGTATATATATATTTTTTTTTATGATTCTCACATACTTTCCAGACAGCCTTTATAAACACATCCCTTGTAGATTTCGGGGGGGCCCATAACTATTTTGCCATTAGTTCTCCCCGGGGCCATTCTTTTACAGATTACGAACACGGTAGTGCCTTGAGGTGTTCTTCACCCTCCTCAATTTCTTCCTCGCAATTATTGTGGATGCATTTGTGGAGGTCAAGGATAATTGTAGCCAGCTTCGCTGCACCCAGAGCTTCTTTGAAGACTTATGCTCTATGGCTGGAACTTTGTACCTCCAAAGGAGGTACAAGTTACCTGCATCAAAACGCTTGGTGAAATTCCTATCCGAAAGTCTGAAAGGTTTTGAAGCCGTCCCAAAGGGATCTGAGAGTGAGGGGAAACCCCCTCTGTTTTCAGCCGAGGCAATTCGTTCAGAATTTGGGTTAGAGGAGTCCGCTGTGTGTCACTGGTTGTGTCGGATTGAATCCATGAGTTCCGTTCCCTTGGTGCACGTGCAGTACCCTGACGATGTTGACGATGAGGAGCCACCAAAACCTGCACCAGATGAGACGAAAGAAGTGGTCGAAGTCCAAGTCGGACATGATGCGAACATTGCGAACATCGAACCAATCACACACATCTAAGGCCATAGGCCCCACAAGGGCCATGATGGGTGCGGATCAAAATGATCAAAGCTCCCACAAGGGATGCGTTAATCCATTCATGTGTTGCGTTATGTTTCGTGCGTAAAAAGTACGACACGTCTTCGTGGTTCTTCAGTCGTTTTTGGATGTCTGTAGAATCCCAATGTTGACCCGCAATCCATCATCAGTTGATCAGTTTGATCAAAAGACCGCAGGGAACCATGGCTGCGCAATGGTCCATCCATGGCCGCACCACGATGCACAAGACCCACAGGGACTCGCCAAAGGCGACTGTTGGCTCCGTCTTTTTTGGGAAACCAGACCCAGACGCGGTTGGAGCAAAAACGCTGGTGGAACTCCTTGGAAATCATTAAGCTCTATTGTAGGAACGAAAAGAGTGGTCTCCTGCAAGCTTTCCTTCGGTCCAATCTAGTGGGTCTTTTTGTGGTAATTATAGGGGAACACCTCAAAGAACTAATGCATCACTTGTCAAATTTGTCAAGCTGTGCGAGAGGGCTAGGATGATGCCTCATGTCTTCAACCTCTGAATTACATTGTTTTTCCCAACATGCTTGGGCAAATCCACCCTGTCACTTTGTTCACGATAGCACATCAAGGTGCTCTAGTGCGTGGCTCCCCGACGAGGACGTGCCAGTTCTCGGGGTCAGCCTGAAGCCAACCAAAAAACATGGAATGTAGCTGGAATTCAACCAGTACACAGTAACCTGACAAAAGCCCGCGCGTTGCAGAAACTCATGGTGTAAAGCTAAACGGTGTGAATTCACCAGCTGATATGATTTTCCCACCCCACCTGCCAGACAAGGTCTCTAGATCTTAATGAAAGGTGTGGCTCTTCCTTCTTCTTCCTTCTCTTTCTTCCTTCCGTCGTCATTGTGGACACCAATGGGCCCGGATCTCACAGCAAGTGCCAGTTCAAGTGGGGTAATTTCGCTAAGATCACGGCGAGCTCCGCGGCAGTTTGGGCACACAGGCTTGAGACCTATCGCAAGCTCCACGGCAGTCTGAGCACGCACAGCTCCGAACCCTACAGAGGCAGCTCTGCTTCAGCTTGGGTTCCAGACAGTGTCAAAATACTTGCCGTAAAGAATGCGAGATAGAATGTCAAAATAGATGCCAGAAAGAATGTCAGAATATATGCCGGAAAAAATGCCAAATAGAATGCCGAGGGTTATGCCAGAAAGTATGCCAAGAATGCCAGCTCTGCCTGGGGCCCGACGGGCCCAAACCCCATGGCAAGCTCCAGATAAGTCTGGGCACACACGGACCCCGACCAGAAAGATTGCCAAACAAATTGCCAGATAGAACGCCAGAATATTTGCCAGAAAGGGTGCCAGATAGAATGTCAATGTTTTTTCCCCACCTGCCAGGTGAGGGTTGTCAGATTTTATGTCAGCCTGCCCGTCTCCTCCTTCCTCCTTCCTCCTTCCTCCTTCTTCCTCCTTCCTCCTTCCTCCTTTCCTCCCCGGACGTCAACTGCAAGCTCTAGATCGCAGTGTTCCCCGCCGGACCCTAACAGCAACCTCTGGATCAAAGTGTTCCCCGCCGGACCTCCACCGCAAGCTCCGGATCAAAGTGTTCCCCGCCGGACCTCAACCACAAAGAATCTCCGAAGATATACCAGATAGAATGCCAGAAAAGAATGTTAGATAGAATGCCAGAATAGAATGTCAGATAGACTGCCGGATAGCATGCCAGAACGTAAAACCTGAACATATGGCAGAAAGAATGCCAGATAGAATGCCAAACAAGATGTCAGAATACATGCCAGATAGGATGTCAGAATAGATGCCAGATAGAAGGCCAGAATAGAATGTCAGAAGATGATGCCATGTACCAATGCTTTCATGGGTAAACATGAAACCACCATATGTTACGCGCAGCTCTGGCTTTAGGGTGTATATGTGGGGGCACGCCGTTTCTTGCGGCTGCTCACTCTGCCACTGCATTCGCCGGGTGTGCTACCTGCTGAGTATAGGTCAGACGCAGGTGAGCTTCAACTCATTTGCTCTGGCTGCAGCGCGCACCTTCGAGGCTGACTTGCGCGACGAGCTCCAACGGCTGGGGCCACCACCATCTCTTCCTGCTGGTGGTGTAAAGCCGGAAGAAAGGGAGGGACCGCCATCCTCCCAGACAGGCAAAGAGGATAAGAAGGAAAAAGAGGGGAGGCTCAACTTGACTCCCAAAGGGCCACCGCCAGGCCCTCCTAGTGGATTGAGTGCGTCCAGCAAGGCGCCGCCGCCGAAAGAAGAGAAGGAGGACGAGAAGAAGAAAGAGGAGGCTGAACATCGAAGAGAGGAAGAGCCAAAGCACAAGGAGGAGAAGGAACGTGCCCGAAGTAGCGGCCGTCATCGCCATCGAGAGAGCCGAGATCGCCGTAGGGGAGAAGACAGATCTCCCAAACGAGAGAGGAGTCGAAGGAGAGAGAGACGAAGCAGGGATAGAAGTAGAAGAAGGAGGCAGGAGGGTGACAGCAAAGAAGAGCGTGAATCAGGAGGGAAAGAAAAGAAAAGAAGGAGTGAAAAACCTCCTGAACCAGAAGGACCACCTCCAGCCCGTCGAGAGGCTGCCCATTGGGGACCACACGAACCCTCCACCCACCACCTCGGAGTCAGGGTGCTGGCTGGCTAGGGGAACTCCCGGTCAGTGATCATCCACGCTGGACGGAGTCCACAAACAAAGGACAAGTGAAGCGAGCCAAACAAGAGCTTCACTCAAGGAGAAGGGACCGCCGACGCTGAGGAGATGGCGCCCAAACGTGCTGGTGTGAGGAGACCAGCGGCGGCAGTGGTGAGGTTGAGAAGACCTGCAGCAAGGGCAGGTGAGGAGGATGCAGAAAGACAGATAGTTCCGAAAGTACAGTCTTTTGCCGATGTAGACGCCCGGAAGGTGGCCGGGATGAAGGCGCTTCACCTCCCAGATGCCCTATACTACGGGAGGAAGGTCAAAGTGGCCGGGCACGTGAAAGGGATGAGAAGTGAGAATGGAGAGTGGTACATGGACTTGGAGGTGAGCGGAACTCGTGATGAAGAGCTACTTCGAGTTCTTACAGGTAAAAGGCTGAAGGTGGCCAATGTACACCTTTGTGGAGCCGGCTGCAACAAGCAGTTGGCTGATGAACTACTTCTTCATGCTGAGAAGTTCGAAGAGGTGGCCTTGGATGAAGAGAATTGGATGAAGAACCTTCAAGATGCAAGAGGAGCCGAGGTGGAGGAAGATGACCTTCGTGACCTGAGGAGAGAGCAAGTGAGGATGGAAGAGGCTGGAAAGAAGGAAAAGAAAGCTGATAAGAAAGAGGCCAAGAAGAGGAGAAGAGAGGGCGTAGAAGAAGGGAGGCGAGCAAAGTCCCCCAGACAAGAGGATGGAGAAATGGAGATTGGACAGAAGAGCCTGGAGGCGGTGTTCAGCGGGACTGGCATGGATCCCGACCCCCGAGGCCGTTCAAAGGTCTTGAAGAAGGCGCGAAAGGTTGCAAAGAAGGACTAAAAAGGAAAGAAAAAGAAGGAGAAGGCGAGCAGCAGTGAAAGCGATGGAAGCGGCTCATCCAGCAGCTCTACAAGCTCACTGGACTTTTGGGGAGACCGGGATTTTCGAGGAGGAGAAGCGCTTGCGTGCAGTGTGGAAGCGCTGCCCGGGAGCCCTATCATCCCGGTCCATCCAAGAGATCAAGCGCAGCTTGGTCACGGCGGCGGGGACGGCTTGGGAGATGAACAAGCAGCTCCTCCCGCCAATTTTCTCGCAATACAGCCGACAGGTTGTAATGCCGGGGATGAGTGCGTCCCTCCAGCAAGAGGTCATCACGGTGAGTCATGCCCTTGACTTGCTGGCGCAAGGGCGTATTGCGTCTAGCATGGACGTGCTGACGCAACGGCTGAAAAGCCTTGAAGCCTTAGGAAAGGGGGCCCACTGGAGCCTTTGCCAGCAATATGAACTCATCAAGACTGATGAGTCAGGGATGACCGAGACCCAGGAGAAACTTTCAGCAGCACGACAAGCTCGCGAAGAAGATCGTTTGCGCAACCTGATGAGCAGACCCAGCTCAGGTAAGGGAGGAGATTTCTCCCAGGCGATGGGCGGCAAGACAAGGAAGGGCAAGGAGTCCAAAGGAGGAGGCAAGAATCAACCGACTGATGCAGGAAAGAACAGAGGGGGAACAGGAGGCAGAGAAGATAAACAACCCCCATGGCCGAAAAAGTGAAAGCTAGAAGTGAGGCTGCATTAGAGGTTGATTCAGAGGAGCCCCAAGAAAGGATGGACCAGAAAGCCCACAGCTTTGGCGAGCGAAAAGAAAAGAAGAGGATGAGAGAAGAGATAGAAGAGGCGGCAACTATGGCGGGTAGAGGTGTCACTATGGAAGACGTTGAGGCCTTCATCGATGAAGCTCGAGAGAAGGCTGCCACTGAAGAGGGGAGCTCTGCTGTTTGGCGGCAGGGGGGCTCCCATGAGAAGGTGGAAATTCGAGTGCATGGCACAGAAGGGAGTCAGCAAAACGCACAGGCTGACTCCCAAAAGTTTCACTACGAGATTCAGCAGCTAGTAGAATCCCTTGTGAAGAGCGCTGCAGGAGTCCTCAAAGTTGGGAGCCTGGGGCCAATGGTGGTGGATGCGCTGAACATACTTGAAAACCCTAGTTGCAGACCAAGGTCCACGGCAGGAAAAGGTGACCTATTTCCTCTTCCTGTTAAGCATCCTGACCACTGTGCGGGCCCAGAATCCAAATTTCTTCAGGCTACTTTGGCAAGCCTAAATAGTCTGCATAGCTTCGGTGAAAGCAGGCTTGATAGACGAGTTTCTCCAGCAGCACGTCGAGTGTGCAAAAGATTGGAACGCATTGTTAAGGGTGCAGCGGTGCTGGTGGAACCCCTTCCTGACATCAACTTTACTTCCTTCTTTAAAACTAAGGGTTTGGACTATTCAGGTGATGAAGTTCGACTTGCCCTACCGATAAGATGGAAGAGCGTTGAGTCTGCTTTACCCCCGGAAGTAGGATGTTTGGACATCAGGGATTTCTGCTATGGGGGTGTTGCACATTTCGTCAACAACATTGAGGAGACCATCATCCCAGTTGAAGATCAGGTGAGACTTAAGCCCCCTTCAGTGATGATCCATGGTGATGGGTGGGATGAAATTGCTCATGGACTAGTTCGTCGGGGACTTTGTGAATTGGTGGCTGAGGAGTCCATCTACAAGATCAATGGGGAGATCCTACTTAACGGCCTTTTTTCAGTTAGTAAAGATGAAGTTTACAGATGGAATCCCATTGGCACGCCTTATCATGAATTTGAAGCCCTGGAACCGAGTGAGCCGGAGCCTGGAGGGAGATGTTTGCACATTACCCGCTGTTACCCAACTAGGAGCCCTACA